CGAGAATCCGTCCCAAACCAGAAGCTGTTAAAACTACGATTAACAAACAGCCTAAACCTGCGCCTTCACGCCTTAGCGAAAAGCCCAAAGATGGTAAAAGCAAAGCTGAATCGAAACCTGATCTCCCAGGATTGAGCTTAGCAAAGAACAACGAGATGAACAAAGAGGTGAAAGAACCGACGGTTGAAGAAAGGGAGGCCCGCCGACAGATGGTCAGCGATTTACTTTCCAAACGTGATGCGCCGAAAGACGGCAAACTGGAGCTGGAGGGGATTGGTAAAGAAGGTGAAGAAGGCGATTTAACGTCAGGGGGACTGGTCACTAGAACAAGTCCGACGATAGCCGAGAAAAAGAATGACTTATCGGATCTAGCGGCGCTGGTGTCTAAGAACAAGACGCCAAGTAAACCTAAGGATAAGGTACGCACGTAAGTCTCTCTTGGTAGTATGAGAAGAATAGAAAACGATTTATAGGTACTTGTGAAATGTTCGTGGCTAATCTGACGCGGCGTTTCGTCTCGGCTAAGAGACTCTTCAGAGACCTTTAGAATTCAAAGGCAAACTCGTTGAGCATCACGCCCAAAGTCCCGTTCGCAAATTCGTGATGTTGACAGTCTGGCCCTCTATCGCAGAAGGATTCCCAACCGTACGAATTTGCGAACGGGACTTTGGGCGTGATGCTCAACGAGTTTGCCTTTGAATTCTAAAGGTCTCTGAAGAGTCTCTTGGCCGAGACGAAACGCCGCGTCAGACTAGCCACGAACATTTCACAAGTATTTGACAATTTGCTGTTGTATAGATTTATAGGTAACAAGGCCCTGTCCGCAGTACGCCGGAGTAAGTTGAAAACGGATGTTTCACTCTGAAAACACATCAAATGTTTTCCGTCCACGCAACGCTGGAGGAATTTAAAAACGCAACAATCACTGGTCATTTTGGATTTGTGTTTGATGAAAACTCGTACTCGGAAATCACATGATTATCGTGAGGTCATCGTGGCCTCGTGGTTAGTGCGCTCGTCTCCGGAACGAGTGGTCCGGGTTCGAGCCCTGGCCGGGGCCATTGTGTTGTGTTCTTGGGCAAGACAC